CCCAAATATCACAACAAGCTCTGTACCGAATGGAAGAAGCAATCTGGCATCGTTACACTGGATTGGCCGTCGCAGTCGCCCGATGCTAATTCTATTGAAAATGTGTGGGCATATATGAAGTATAAGCTTCGTGGAAAACGCACGTACACTTTGCAGCAATTATCTCACAAGATTCGTCGGATTTGTAGGTCCTTGCCGCTAGAATATGTCATCACTTTGGTTGAAATCATGCCTCGGAGATGCCAGGCATTTATCGACACCGATGGTGACTGGTGCATTATTAACAAAATTACATCTTTCTTTTCATCGAGTACAATGCGTATATGTATGTGAAAATCTTGTTTAATAATTTTTTTTATAAATTAATCCGACTACGCTCCTACTTGACAGATTGTAAGTATTGATGAAGACTGAGTATTGCGAATTAGTATTGGTCAATACTTAAATATTGATGTAATTAAGTATTGATGAAGACTGAGTATTGCGAGTCAATATTGGTCAATAGTTAAATTATACTATAATTATACTATTATAATAGTAATATTATAAATTATAATAGTAATATTATAAATTATACTATTATAATAGTTAGATTATACCAAATAATATTTATTAAACATTTAAAAACATTTGAAAAAACATTTTTGAAACGTTAAAAATAATGGGACAAGTCCTCTTTATTAAAAAAACGATTTTAATGTTTGGAAGAATGTTTTGTTTTCTAAATATTTAATAAACACGTATTTTAACATTTAAAAAAACGTTTTTCTAAATGCTAATATCTAACATTTAAAAAATATTTTCTAAATGTTAAAATAAACGTTTATTAAATATTATAAAACAATTTTAATTAAATATTATAAAACGTTAATATTTTTATTAAATATTATAAAACGTTTATTAAATATTATAAAACATTTTTTTAAACGTTAAAAAACGTTAAAAAACGTTTTTTTAATGAAAAAAGAGAATTCATTTCATAATTTTTAACATTTTAAAAATGTTTCTTTAAAGGTTTTTTTAAATTGTAATGTTTTATAGTGTCGACACTTAGGTAAACATATTTTATATAAATATTTTATGCATATATTTCTGACTTCTTTTTTATTATATGAAATATTTGGACTAAATAGTTTATTTTTGTGGTTGTACTAAATAATATTATAAGAAAATTATAATCACTGCTTTGGCTACATATGGGGATAATAAAAAACGTTCAGTTGAAAAAATGGCACAGCAGCTAAGATGATAGACTAGGAATCTAAAGATATCTGAGGTCTCGAGTTCGCGTTCGACTAGTACTGATTGTGAGTAAATTTTCAGGTGTCAAAATAGTGAGAAATCAAATAAAAGAGCTAAATTTCATTTAAAATCAATATTAATGTATTGTGAAGGATAGTATATTCTAACAATATTCTACGTATATACTTTTAATACTCATCAATATTAAGTATTCCTAAAAAAAGTATTGGCCAATTTAGTATTAACCAATATTAAATATTGCGCGCTCAATAGTATTTTTCCGTAAGAGCAGTTTTCGAGACGTTTGATCTTTCAATTCCGTTTAAAACCTGAATAAAAAGAAAAGAAAGAAAAACCATAAAGAAATATATAAATATTGTACATTTATATATTTTGTAATTCAATTCTCCCGAAATGTGTATCGGCGCGAGAAAAGTTTAACAACATTGATTTTCGCATACATGGAAAAGAATTTCAGTTCGAGTAATTGAATGTGAACCAAACAAAACTCGCAGACGAAAAAATTATTGACAAGAAATTATATCTTTCTTACTGTGACCGAAAACTCGTCTGAACATTCAGTTGTATTAAAACTTGGTTGAGATAACTAATAGCTTGACTGATAACTGATAACTTGGCTGATAGTAGTAAGAACTTCCTACAGAAATATTTTCGTTCCTACAACCGAGTTTTTCATTTGATCCTTAAATAATAGAAAATTCAATTAAGTAATAGAAAATTCAATTATACTAACGCAGTTAATTTTTTTAGTATACTTATCCAAATAGATTCATTATTATTACGACGTGAGACAATCGTTGATGAAAACATTAAAATTCTTTTAATCCTCCGTATATATTCATATCTTTTAGAACATATAGCACAAATTAGTTTCGGATAATTTGAATTACTATAACTTTGTTGAAAATCGATATTTTTGGATTTTTTCCAGAAATATAAAAAAGCCTACAAAACAGTATTACAATAAAATCAAAATCTACAAACAAAATTTGCATTATTTTGAAATCTTTATTACTGCGTACCGTGCGCGAAGGGTTAATATACAGACTCAGACAATAATACATATATTCATTTTGCATATGTGTAGATTAGATCAAATTAAATAAGAAACTCCTCTATACTATTTTGCGAAAAACCACAAATTTTTAGTTATTAATTAAAGAAGATTAGTGAATGGTCGTATATGAATGGATGCTGTAGAGACGATGTCTGAATCGTGCTAATCAGCGCCTCTCCTCCCATCTTTTACGTCATTCCCCTCTAGCCTATCACTGCTCGATGCTTGACGCTCAACTAAAGCAATGTTAGTCTACTCGAACGTCGAGTGGTGATAGGTTAGGAGAGGGTAGTATGCTAATTAGCACAGATTACGCACCGCCTCTATAACATGCGATCATCCATCAATTTTTTCAGTCAATAACTAAAAATTTTACGTGGTTGTTCGCAAAATGAGATAGAGAAATTTTTTGTTTATTTTGACACATACACGAAATGAATATATCGTAATATACAGGATCTCTCACACTCTCCTCCTTTTGTGAGGAGGTAGAATGGGTTAATGTGAACATAAAAGTCCTATACCGTTTTGCGAAATTCGCAAAATAGTCGAGATATTAATTAAAAAAGATTAAGGAAAAACGCTGAATGGTAGAGGACGGACCACTCGAGTCACAGCGTGGCCCAGTAATATAGCGCGCGGATCTCGCGCGCAGTGATTGGAAGACAATGTACCACTGCCTATACTTATACCGCTGCGCTCCTACGTCTTGCCGCACCGCGTCGAGATAAGAATAGGCAGTGCTGCATTGCCTTCCAATCACCGCACGCGACATCCGCGCGCTTTATTAGTGGGCCGCGCTGTGACTCGAGCGGTCCGTCCTCTACTATTCAGCGTGCGTTTTTCCTTAATCTTTTTTAATTAATATCTCGACTATTATTGCGAATATCGCAAAACGGTATAGGACTTTTATGTTCACATCAACCCATTCTACGTCCCCACAAAATGCCCGGAGGAGAGTGTGAGACACCCTGTATATATAATTATACTATATATATATATACAGGGTGTCCCGAAGTCCCATGATGACCCTTGGTGAGAACGTAGAACGGATTGAGGTGAGCAAGAAAGTCCTGTGCCGTTTTGCGATATTCGCAATAGTTTTTGAGAAATTAATTATTTTGTCTCAACAAATCAGCGTACAGAAAGCGGCAGCGGAAAGAAAGATGCCTTCGGCCGACGTGCGACCG